TTTTAGAATATCTGGGAAGGTTTGGAGTTCAAGTGACTTGTTGAAGAGCAGAGCAATAGCAGGGGCTAAAGATCTGGAGGCTTTTTTGTAAATTAAAGTTGGTATCTCCTCAAGGGCACCAGACTTGGTTTTAAGGGAAAGGATTATCTATCTTAGGATTATCTAAAGGATAAAGGAAAGGATTATCTAAAGGTATCTTTCTCTGCTCTCAAGTGTCCTGTTATTTCTATAGTTTCTCCACGCCCTTGTACTTTATTGCTTTGTTAGCTTACATCTCTGATTAAATCATGGGCTTCTCGTCTGTATTTCGTTTTTTTCCTTTTGGACTGGAACGAACATGTCTGCTGCCTCCTTACACTTCTGCGTGATGTAGTCCATCGTGTCTTGGGCCGTTTTTCCTGAGCTCTGTTTCCCATGTTATATATGTTAGGAATTTTGTTAACTCCTCATAGTTTCTCTTTCGGAATGCCAGCCTTTTGTTTTCTGATCTCTGTCCCGAGTACATTCACCCTACTTCGACCAGGTTCTCAAACATCAGTACACTGTGATCACTCATTCCCACGGGGGCTTCGAGACCAATTTCCCTAATGTCTGAGTCATTCAGAGTGAAGACTAGATCGAGTCTCGTTAGTTCGTCGTTGCCTCTCATCCTTGTGGGTTCCCTGACATGCCGACTTAAAAGGTTTCTTGTCGCCACTTCCAACAGTTTTGCTCTCCATGTTTCCTCACCTCCATGTGATTCCTTGTTTTCCAAGTCTATCCTTCCGTGATTAAAGTCCCCCATGATGAGCAGATAGGATCGATTTCTACAGGCAGCAGCGGCTGCTCTTTGATTTATAGTGTTAATTTCCATGTTATTTCTGTCATACTCTTGCCTGGGTCTTCTGTCATTTGGTGGAGGGTTATATATCACTGCTACTACTACTCTTGGTCCTCCCATCGTCATGGTGCCTGTTATGTAGTCTCTGAAACCTTCACAGCCCAAAATAACCATATCCTCGAAACTCCATTCCTTTTTCATCAGTGAGTTTAGTTCATTTATTATGCACCCCATAAACTTTCTCATCAGTAAGGCCACCCTGCCTCCTCCCCTTCCTTCCCTCTCTCTCTCCTTATTACAGTGTAGTCCTGGGGAAACACTGCATTCGTTATGATTCTTGAGAGTTGTGTTTCCGTGAATCCAATTACATCCAGGTTCACTTCTTGTGCTCTTTCCCTAAGTTTACTTGCCTTGCTTGTAATGATATGTTTGCGTACATACTTGCTTGTAATGCTATGTTTGAATACATCCCCTTGAAGCTGACTCTCTTCTGTCCATCCTCAGTTTCTGTTGATTCCACTGGAGTTGGGGGACAAGGGGTGTCTGGGTTGTGAGGGGGCTGGAAGGGTCTGGTACAGGGGGGCTAGGAGGGTCTGGAATGATGTGGCTTAGAGGGTCTGAGGTTGGGGGTCAATTAATTCATGGGATGTGTGTGTGTAAGAGAAATATATGTAATTTTTTTTTTTTTTTAAATTTTGCCCCGAGGGGCAAGTTTATTGGGCAGCGCCACTCATCTTGTGAGTGAACATACCGCCATAGTAGAATGTACAACACTCCCCAATAGGAAGAAAACCCGCTGGGTTGTTCATCCTGTCACTTGTACCCAGACACAGCTGGGACTTGCTTAACTGTCTCAAGTGAACAGCTCCTCAAACAAGAAGATTAACATTTATCAACCCTTAAAAGCTTACGTTATCTTGCGGGTGCAAAATGGGGAAATCTTTTAAGAACAGTATCAATATTTGACAAATAGTGTTTTCCTAACTCAAACAATGTGGGGTTTATTATTCTACACATATTCCTAATGTCTCTCAGGTGTTCACATTCACGTAGATAGTGGTCAAGGCGGTGTCCATCACTCTCACCACAGATTCTGCAACTTCGCTGATCAACTGTTGTTTCCATTCCATACCTCCATGGATATTTGTATCCAAGACGGATTCTCGCTATTACAGATTCTCTCCCTCGTCGTCCTCCTCTTCGGCCATAATGATTGGGATTGCCAGCTGCAACCATGTTGTACCATCGTAGAGATTCACTGGTTTGTGCTTCTATCCTCCTGTCCTCAGTTACCTTGTCACGGTGATGTTGCCTGATAATACCTCTAATTTGTAGTAGAGTCTTGGGTATGAAGTATTCAATATGGTCTCCTTCAGCGCCTTCAGCAGCCAGCACATCTGCTCGTTCATTTCCACATATTCCAACATGGGAGGGAATCCACAGAAACTTGATGACTCTTCCCTGATTGGTAAGTACTCTCACAGCTCTCTTGATTTCAGCGACTATTGCAAGATTTTCTGCCTGATTTTTACTTAGGCTTTGCAGTGCTGCTTTTGAATCGGTGCAAATCACTGCACCATTAGTGTTCAGAAATATATGTAGTAAACATAACAGAGAAAAAATAAATTGGTTATAAAGGCGGGTCCAAGAGCTAATAGCTCGATTCTGCAGATATAAATAGTAAATACATCCCCCAGGAAGCAGCTGTCTAACATCCAGATACCTATTTACTGCTAGGTGAACAGGCGCATCAGGGCGAAAGAAACTATGTCCATTTGTTTCTGCCTCGGCCGGGAATCGAACCCAGGCCCTTAATACCACGACCCCCGGGCGCTGTCCACTCAGCCGCAATATTTCACTTACAAAGTGGTTGGAGGTGTATTTAGCGGACCTGTGTACAACAGTCACCAGAACTGTCTCTCCCAGTAAGGCATAACTTAACAAAATATTAGTTTAGCAAAGACAACTTCTTAAAGACAAGCTCATTAATGCACAAGTAAACATGCTGTGTCATTTTGTTTTTTTTTGCATCTGAACTATTACGTAAGGAAATACACGTGCACGGAACACACACACACACACACACACACACACACACACACACACACAGGGGCGCTGGTGGCTGAGTGGACAACACGCTGGATACGTAATCTTGAGGTCCCGGGTTCGATTCCCGGCGCCGGCGGAAACAAAAATGGGGCAGTTTCTTTCACCCTGATGCCCCTGTTATCTAGCAGTAAATTGGTACCTGAAATTAGACAGCTGTTACGGGCTGCTTCCTTGGTGTGTGTGTGTGTGTGTGTGTGTGTGTGTGTGTGTGTGTGTGTGTGTGAAAAAAACATTAGTAGTAGTTAGTAACAGTTGACTGACAGTTGAGAGGCGGGCCGAAATTAAGAGCAGAACTTAAACCCCGCAAGCACAACTAGGCGAACACACACACACACACACACGTGTTAGGTGTATATCAGTCAAGGCCCCCAGAGTGGAACTACTGATCTCCCCAGCATGCAACCCCACAACAGTTGACTAACTCCCAAACACCTATTTACTTCAAATTCAAATTCAAATTCAAATGTTTATTTAGGTAAAATACATACATACAAGGGTTGATACAAAAAGTTGATGGATTTATAGATAGAGCTAGTACATACAATGCCTAAAGCCACTATTACGCAAAGCGTTTCGGGCAGGAAAAACACTAAGACTAAAACTTAATACTAATTGAGATTAAAGTATAAAATGTGTTGAGAAAATATAAAAATAAAAAAGGGGGGACATGGCAGGAAAAAGCAAAAATACAATTAGGTCGACAAACAGCGTTGTTTCAAAATAACAGACATGGTTGACAATAGAGGGGTAAGGTAGGTTACAGGGAGTTAATTAGGTAGTGTTTCGTTTTTATCTTAAACTGGTTGAGAGAGGTACAGTCTTTAACATGATTGGGAAGGTCATTCCACATTCTGGGTCCCTTCATTTGTAGAGCATTTCTAGAGCATTTCTTCAAGGTGAATAGTTGCATCAGGTGAAAGGAAACGTGCCCAACCATTTCTGCCCCGCCGGGGATTCCCGATTGTGAGTGGAGAAGGAAGCGGACTGTACGACTGGCACGTTAAAATGTGATGTAGTACTCTTGGAGAGGACAGGTTGAAGGTTAGGACGCCCAGCAGGTATGTGGAGACTCACATGGACTACAAGGCGAAAATACAATGTTAGAGGGTAAAAATAAACAAGGCGAAGGCCGAGCCCACATTGTACTTCCACCGAGACCATATAGTTATACCCTTATATTGTCCTTATATACCCCGTTAAGGACAATAACCGGAGCCAGTGCCTATACGGCAACTCCTCCACCCACGTGATCAGCCACACCATTATGCTTCGCTAACACGGCTATACACACCGCTAAGCAGCCAACCTCTCATCCACCGCGCACTACGCCAATGGCTTATTGCTTCACATAATATAAAAAAGTCTCACTTTCACTTCTAAAACAACCACGTCATTGAGCTCCAAGAAAGGGCCAGGTCATCGGTGCACCTCGCTGACCTGTTTGGCGCGTGCCCCATGACCACTGTGGGGCGTCCTAGTCTCCTTATCTGTATCATTACTCATACACGCCGCTCTATGCCAGCCTCATCAACTCACCGCTCTACGCCAGGCTCATCAACTCACCGCTCTACGCCAGGCTCCTCAACTCATCAGGTGCCCAATACTCTACAGCCACCCGCTAAATTAACTCCCCGGGAAAAAAGTAGATGCCAGTTTCACTAATAACAAACATCTTGATAAAGGAATTTAAGGTATTTGGTCAACTACTAAGAAATTGATTATAATATACACACTTCATTCACCTAAGATATAATAATTAAGGTATCCCTTTTATTGAAATTAATTCAAACGAAACCTATTAACAAATGTTATACTTGGTATTGTTTGTAAACTTGCTAAATTAAACTTGTTAGCAGGTTAGCGTAAAATAATAAATTGCTTTTATTCAGTGAATTGTAATCATACTGCATTGCACTGAAGGTCAAAGCAGAGAACATATGATTAAAAAAAATAGTTATTGTATTAAATGAAGACACAGTTTATGTTTTGTGACAGCGAGTTTGAAAGCGCTAAGAGTAGCGACCACCTGGCCGCTCTGAATATAGTGACGGCAACTGCCACTGGCCAGTGTTGATCCAGACAGTGTTAAAGATGGACGCATTTTCAGCGTCGTTCATTACTAAATCTCTCATAGCCGGAGGTAAGAATAAAATTTACTGTATTTTAATGTATGAAAGTCATATTATTTTGTTTTCATTATATTAATAAATCTTAAAATGTGACTATAGTTGTGCAGAATAAGGCTAATATTAAGGATGAAAAGTGTTGTGCAGCCTCTGGAACCCCATTAGATACGCCCGAATCGAAATAAAAGTATTCGTATATTCCGTCAGAGAAGTGTTAAGAAATAATAAGTACCAAGTTGAAGAAAGTTCGTCTTGAAACGTCTAGCATTCTGTAACATGATTCACTCAGCTGTGCCCTCCAGCAAAATGGAACTGGGCGTTTACACACCAGTTACATCCTCTTCAATATTGTCAACACGGACTACTGACCCACTCTTAATTAATTTTTGTTTTGCTCTAACCAAATGTTATTTATAAACCGACATAGAGGGAAATATATGTGGGAATGTGAATATAACATGGCAATGCAAGGGTGGGTGGATATATAGCGGTAAATCCACCCACTTCCGCGAGAACAGTTGTACCACCACAACTGTTCAGCCCTCCCTTACCGCCACCCACACACCGAGCGGTAACACTCATTACTCCACTCATATACCGTGGCACTTTACCTGGCGCTCAAGTAGAGATTTATATTGGTTTTATTTAGTATTTGTTGGTGGTAGAGCATGCGGGTGTGAGGTGTGAGGATTGGCAGCCGTGGTGAGGTGACGGGTTATTCACCCGGGCTCAAGGGTGGGTGACGGGTTATTCACCCGGGCTCAAGGGTGGGTGACGGGTTATTCACCCGGGCTCAAGGGTGGGTGACGGGTTATTCACCCGGGCTCAAGGGTGGGTGACGGGTTATTCACCCGGGCTCAAGAGTGGGTGACGGGGCTGTTCACCCGGGCTCAAGGGTGGGTGACGGGTTATTCACCCGGGCTCAAGGGTGGGTGACGGGTTATTCACCCGGGCTCAAGAGTGGGTGACGGGTTATTCACCCGGGCTCAAGGGTGGGTGACGGGTTATTCACCCGGGCTCAAGGGTGGGTGACGGGTTATTCACCCGGGCTCAAGGGTGGGTGACGTGGCTATTCACCCGGGCTCAAGAGTGGGTGACGGGGCTGTTCACCCGGGCTCAAGGGTGGGTGACGGGTTATTCACCCGGGCTCAAGAGTGGGTGACGGGTTATTCACCCGGGCTCAAGAGTGGGTGACGGGTTATTCACCCGGGCTCAAGGGTGGGTGATGGGTTATTCACCCGGGCTCAAGGGTGGGTGATGGGTTATTCACCCGGGCTCAAGGGTGGGTGATGGGTTATTCACCCGGGCTCAAGGGTGGGTGATGGGTTATTCACCCGGGCTCAAGGGTGGGTGACGGGTTATTCACCCGGGCTCAAGGGTGGGTGACGGGTTATTCACCCGGGCTCAAGGGTGGGTGACGGGTTATTCACCCGGGCTCAAGGGTGGGTGACGGGTTATTCACCCGGGCTCAAGGGTGGGTGACGGGTTATTCACCCGGGCTCAAGGGTGGGTGACGGGGCTATTCACCCGGGCTCAAGAGTGGGTGACGGGTTATTCACCCGGGCTCAAGAGTGGGTGACGGGGTTATTCACCCGGGCTCAAGAGTGGGTGACGGGTTATTCACCCGGGCTCAAGGGTGGGTGACGGGTTATTCACCCGGGCTCAAGAGTGGGTGACGGGTTATTCACCCGGGCTCAAGAGTGGGTGACGGGTTATTCACCCGGGCTCAAGAGTGGGTGACGGGTTATTCACCCGGGCTCAAGAGTGGGTGACGGGTTATTCACCCGGGCTCAAGAGCGGGTGACGGGTTATTCACCCGGGCTCAAGGGTGGGTGACGGGGCTGTTCACCCGGGCTCAAGAGTGGGTGACGGGGCTGTTCACCCGGGCTCAAGGGTGGGTGACGGGTTATTCACCCGGGCTCAAGGGTGGGTGACGGGTTATTCACCCGGGCTCAAGAGGGGGTGACGGGTTATTCACCCGGGCTCAAGGGTGGGTGACGGGTTATTCACCCGGGCTCAAGGGTGGGTGACGGGTTATTCACCCGGGCTCAAGGGTGGGTGACGGGTTATTCACCCGGGCTCAAGAGTGGGTGACGGGTTATTCACCCGGGCTCAAGGGTGGGTGACGGGTTATTCACCCGGGCTCAAGGGTGGGTGACGGGTTATTCACCCGGGCTCAAGGGTGGGTGACGGGTTATTCACCCGGGCTCAAGGGTGGGTGACGGGTTATTCACCCGGGCTCAAGGGTGGGTGACGGGTTATTCACCCGGGCTCAAGGGTGGGTGACGGGTTATTCACCCGGGCTCAAGGGTGGGTGACGGGTTATTCACCCGGGCTCAAGGGTGGGTGACGGGTTATTCACCCGGGCCACCCGACTCACCCGTTCTTCACCCACACTAGAAATAATTATTACCGCTCTTAAGTTATCACCGCAGTTACGAAATAATTCGCTTTGGCGTTATCTTGAGGTTATCTTGAGATGATTTCGGGGCTTTAGTATCCCCGCGGCCCGGTCCGCGACCAGGCCTCCACCCCCCAGGAAGCAGCCCGTAGCAGCTGTCTAACTCCCGGGTACCTATTTACTGCTAGGTGAACAGGAACATCAGGGTGAAAGCAACTCTGCCCAACTTGTTTCCGCCTCCACTGAAACAGTTCCATAAAATTTATTTTAGTTCACAAATTAGATTGTGCCAACTAATAATAGCTTAGATATAAGAACCTGTCTACCATTGACAGCGCCCGACGAGCTAGCAATAGATAATATGATAAACTATTTAAATCACAATGTGTTGATTTTAAATTAATATAATTATATAATAATATAATTTTTTTGCAGTTTTAATAAATTGACGTTGTAGACCTTGTGTGTTTATAGCCATTTTCAATTGACTGTTCCGACTGCAGTAGTTAATTATCGGGAGAAAGTACCAAGCCAGTACGAGTACTGTATGTAGTAAAGACTATACTATAGTCATGGTATAGTCTATATAGCCTATATAGTCTATAGTCATAGTATAGTCTATATAGTCTATAGTCATACTATATTATAGACTATGTAGGTAGAGTGGCTTAGAGAGTACTAAGCCAGTGGGACTATATAGCCCTTGGAAGGAGTCAGGATAAGGATTTGGGATGGGACGGGTGGGAAGGAATGGTGCTTAACCACTTGGACCATCGGGGATCGAACGCCGGCCTGCAGGAAGAGAGGTCGTCGGTGCACCAACCAGTCCAAGTGGTGGAGAAAAAGGTTCATAGACAACATTCTTAGATAGTGACACTGATAATACTAATGTACCAGACATAGTCACTGTGATAGTGTACACTTATATACGGTATTGTGCTTGTTGCTGGGTACCTATAGTCGGGGTCCCTGGGTACCTATAGTCAGGGGTCCCTGGGGTACCTATAGTCAGGGGTCCCTGGGTACCTATAGTCAGGGGTCCCTGGGTACATATAGGCAGGGTCCCTGGGGTACCTATAGTCAGGGTCCCTGGGGTACCTATAGTCAGGGTCCCTGGGTACCTATAGTCAGGGTCCCTGGGTACCTATAGTCAGGGTCCCTGGGGTACCTATAGTCAGGGTCCCTGGGGTACCTATAGTCAGGGTCCCTGGGGTACCTATAGTCAGGGTCCCTGGGGTACCTATAGTCAGGGGTCCCTGGGTACCTATAGTCGGGGGTCCCTGGGGTACCTATAGTCAGGGGTCCCTGGGGTACCTATAGTCAGGGGTCCCTGGGTACCTATAGTCAGGGGTCCCTGGGGTACCTATAGTCAGGGGTCCCTCCGGGTTCCCTGGGGTACCTATAGTCAGGGGTCCCTGGGTACCTATAGTCAGGGGTCCCTGGGGTACCTATAGTCAGGGGTCCCTGGGGTACCTATAGTCAGGGGTCCCTGGGGTACCTATAGTCAGGGGGTACCTATAGTCCCTGGGGTACCTATAGTCAGGGGTCCCTGGGGGTACCTATAGTCAGGGGTCCCTGGGTACCTATAGTCAGGGGTCCCTGGGGTACCTATAGTCAGGGGTCCCTGGGTACCTATAGTCAGGGGTCCCTGGGTACCTATAGGCAGGGGTCCCTGGGTACCTATAGTCAGGGGTCCCTGGGTACCTATATCAGGTACCTATAGGGGTCCCTGGGTACCTATAGTCGGGGGTCCCTGGGGGTACCTATAGTCAGGGGTCCCTGGGGTACCTATAGTCAGGGGTCCCTGGGGGTACCTATAGTCAGGGGTCCCTGGGGGTACCTATAGTCAGGGGTCCCTGGGTACCTATAGTCAGGGGTCCCTGGGGTACCTATAGTCAGGGGGGGTACCTATAGTCAGGGGGGTACCTATAGTCAGGGGTCCCTGGGGTACCTATAGTCAGGGGTCCCTGGGGTACCTATAGTCAGGGGTCCCTGGGGTACCTATAGTCAGGGGTCCCTGGGGTACCTATAGTCAGGGGTCCCTGGGGTACCTATAGTCAGGGGTCCCTGGGTACCTATAGTCAGGGGTCCCTGGGGGTACCTATAGTCAGGGGTCCCTGGGGTACCTATAGTCAGGGGTCCCTGGGGTACCTATAGTCAGGGGTCCCTGGGGGTACCTATAGTCAGGGTCCCTGGGTACCTATAGTCAGGGTCCCTAGTCAGGGGGGGGTACCTATAGTCAGGGTCCCTGGGGTACCTATAGTCAGGGTCCCTGGGGGTACCTATAGTCAGGGTCCCTGGGTACCTACAGTCAGGGTCCCTGGGTACCTATAGTCAGGGGTCCCTGGGTACCTATAGTCAGGGGTCCCTGGGTACCTATAGTCAGGGGTCCCTGGGTACCTATAGTCAGGGGTCCCTGGGTACCTATAGTCAGGGGTCCCTGGGTACCTATAGGCAGGGGTCCCTGGGTACCTATAGTCGGGGGTCCCTGGGTACCTATAGGCAGGGGTCCCTGGGTACCTATAGTCGGGGGTCCCTGGGTACCTATAGGCAGTCAGGGGTCCCTGGGGTACCTATAGTCAGGGGTCCCTGGGTACCTATAGTCAGGGTCCC